CACATCCGTTTTTGTTTTTTATTTTTAACAGACACAGAGTCAAATAGGGTAAAAATTCCATCAAAACGGCTCCAAGACATCTGTATATGTTTACAAAACTAGAAATAGTTTTTTATTCTTCAGTTGTAGAAATCTAGAATTCAGGGAAAATTCATAGAAACTGCAATGTTTACAAATACCGGAAGTCACGCATCATACTGACCCGTGATTGGCTTATTTACCGTTTAGTCGCAGGGACTGGTCGCACAAACAGTTCACACGAAGGGACAAACATTTGTTTCATGCGACAAGTCCCTGCGACTGGTCGCACGAATTCAAACCAGTTTGAATTCGTGCGACCAGTCGCAGGGACCAAATTTTGGTCCCTGCGACCACAGAAATGTGTAGTTCACACGAAGGGACTAGTCGCATGAAACTGGTCGCTGGGACTAGTCGCAGGGACTAGTCCCCTCGTGTGTGCCGACCTTTATGTAGTAGCAATACTATATGGCCATTTACCTGCTACAAGAAGGACATAATCATTCCTCTTTAGATCTGTTTGGTGTTTTCTTATCAGCTCATCAATGTTGCCTATTTTGCAATTGAGAAGAGCGCGAATTTTGGTATCCATTTTTGTCAAGCATTTTTCGCATTCAGCGTATAGACCAGATAAAATATCTTTCTTTCTTAGGTCGCGATCTCTTGCTTCTGACAGAATAGACAATGCCTGAAAAGGAAAAAAAAGCAATTAGATTGAAAAAAGGAACTTTATTATTATGATTATTATTATTATGATGATTATTATTAATATTATTATTATTATTATTATTATTATCATAATTAGCTACATACAAAGGTACACTACGAATTCTACGTAAATCACTTGTAGTAATTACTATACTAACAGTGCTACACCTATTACAACTAAAAATTCATGTATGATACATATTCTAGAGAGGTGGACAACACAACACATCACAAACATAGTGTGTAGTAGATATCATAATCACGTGTTTATCGATTTGCATAATTATGCGACCCGATTGGCGTGAAAAAATAACTCGTGTTCAACATGGACAAAATAAACATGTGTTGTGTTTACTAAACAGCGCAAATACTTCAATTAGATTTTAAAGCACGAGTTAGTTGATAATAAAAACTAATAATGCAGATTTTCAATGAGCCACCATATATTTCCTCCGCGCGGTACCACAACAAAAATTCTTATCATAATGATTTCCATCTTTTCCTAAAATCTTGAAGCTTCTTATTTCTTAAGGCAATAAGTCTTTCACTCTCCTTCTTGGCTTCTACTTTGTGTAGAAACAAATTATACTTTAGGAGGGACTTGTTTCTTCTACACTCCTATATACACAGTTTACCAAGCGTTATCAGATAATTTAGAAGGTCATTTCGATTTCAAATGCCAATTATAACTTCTTTTAGAGAAATGTTAAGATTTTCACTCCGAAATTCGGACCACCGGTTGCAAAACCTTTCCAAAAGGCTCGCGGATAGGAGCAATCGTAAAAGAGATGGTAGAAGTCTTCTTTGTAAACCGCGCAGTATAAATTATTTAATAATTTAGACTGAAAAGACCAGACATGCATAAGTTTCACCTGCCGCGTTATAGGGGATCGAGAACACTTCATGTAATGGGTCTGAAAGTTCCAAGTCGGCCGATAGAGTGTTAAATCTTTTCAGATATTTAGCTTTATTAACACTCAGCAGTGCAGTGAATAGAACTGTTTTTACTTAGCTGAGTACGCGTCGAATTCGGTATTTTTGTATTTGAACGTCATAGGATCAAACTCCACCGGTGGAAAAGAGGATAACTTGTTCCTAGACAGACAACCGTAAGGCAGACCATGTCAAAAAATTGGAATCAAGCCGCGTATTCTTTGGGTATTCAAAAGAGCTTATATTATCCAAATTAAATAATAGATCATTTAGATAAATAATTCCACCGTCTGCATATTTTTTATATAAGATAAGTTTGTTATCAATTTTTATCTCTTTACTATTCCAAATTACATAATGGGCATAATTAATATCAGAGAAAGCATTTCGAAAATCTGTCCACCAGTCAAGGAACTGCTGATTAAAACCCTTTAAACTTAAATTGAGATCCTTACATCATAATTTCTTTTTAAGATTAGAGTTCCTCCATTTTTTTCAAATGAAATGCAAAATACGACTTCTATAGAGTGTTTGCACGTGACGTCACAGCTTTATCATCCGCCATTGTGGGGGAGTAAAGAACCAACATGGCGGATGCTGATGCCCAACAGACGTCTCAACGCGCTTCAGAAGAAAACATTATTCATGATATTCCTTTGTCTAATTATGCGAAATCACCTGCAAGTATTGTAAAGAAGCGTTATATTGATAAGATTTCGTGTGTTCGTGTTGATCCTCTTTTGATTCCGGACGAAAAGTTAAGTAGGGAATGCCTTCGTACTGTTGAAGCTGTTGAAGCTGTTGATCTCGTGTTGCATTTGGTTTCACAAACTAGTTTTTATACGACAGAACAATTTAAGAACTTTAAAGCTTGCAAACCTACAACCAAATGGTTTACGGTTTCATAACCAGCATTTTGGGGCAGATTTTCGCTTAAATTTTTCGCCTAGCGGCAAATTCTTCCATTTCAGTTGTTTATCCTACAAGCGTCGTCCAAACAATTACAAATTGTCCTGGTTATGTAATGAGTGTAAATTGCAAAGTGTTGTTGCTATGAAAAGCTCAAAACTATCCAAGGAGTCTTCCTCTCCCATCTCCAACACTTCTGATGATTCTGACATTATAAATTTGGGTGAAACTTACCATGTTGATGTTGAGAAATATGGGATAATTGCTGAACTATCTGCACATGACTTTGATGTGATTGAATCACCTAATGGGTGGCTTGAAAATAGTATTATACAGTATGCCCAATCACTTTTGAAAACAGTCAATCCAGCTATACAAGGATTTCAGCATACAAGTCTTGGAATATATTTAAATTTGAAAAAGTTGATGGGGATTTTGTTCAGATATTGCACACTGGGGGCAATCATTGGGTATGTGAAAGCTCAATTGGATGTGAAAAAGGATTTGTGAATTTGTATGACAGTCTTTTTCATGATGTTATTTTTAATGATCTGGAACAGCAAGTTCAGAACTTAATTGGTGAAGATTTCAAAGATATATCTGTTGTACCTGTGCAACAACAATCAAATGATTCTGACTGTGGTGTTTTTGCAATGGCTCAGTGCAACAGCACTTTCTTACAATCTGGACAAGGATATCCCAAACTTTGATGTAAATCAAATGAGATCTCATCTATTAACATGCTTAAAGAGTGGACTGATTACTCCCTTTCCTGAGGTTAAACAGTTGGTTATGTGACATTTTATTGCTTCATGAAGCATGAAGCAGTTCTTGCCTGAGAGCAAGGCATTCAAAGTCCACACTGTTTATCACCGAGTATTTATAAGTGTTATCAACAATGTAAAGAATGAATGCATGGCATCAACATGGAAAATGGGTTAAAACCCAAATGTTTGTGAATAAACTTATGAAAAAAATGCAAATGAAAAAAAATCATAATAATATTTCATCAATAGTTAATAAGTACAATCCATTCAATGTTGAATGCCCCATCAGTCAAATGGGATGGTAGGTGGGCAAAGATTGACAAGAGCTGAGCAAACTCTTAACATCCTGTCAATGAGAGGTACAGATTCACCAGATCTACAGGCAAGATAATCTGTTGGCAAAGTTTGTTGAAGGATGGTGTACTTCTGTCTCAATGTCCCAATAATTCTCTCAACGTGGATTCTCAGTGTAGCAATCTGTCTTGTCTTCTCTACATCAACAGGATCGAGTTGATCCTTTCCCTTTGTAAATGCTGGAATATTCAGGTCAGCATGACGGAACCAAATACTTTCATGCACAGTAAAACCTCTGTCAGCAAGGACCATATCACCTGGCAAAAGTTTCTCAAGAATTCCACACTTCTCAGTCAAAAACTTGTCTGATGTTCTTCCTCCCCAAGCCTCACTCACAAAACAAATTGTCCCTTGTGGTGTAACTCCAATTAAAACTTTGACAGTGTTGTGGTGTTTATAATTTGAAAAGGTCTGAGCTCTTGCAAGAAGGTTGGATGGCCGATCGATGAAAATTTCAAAACAATCAATAATAACTGTAGTTTTACGACCGAACGCATCCAAAAAACATCTAGGCATGGTCTTGTACAACTCATCACGACTAGGCCATTTAATAATTGGAGTTAATCGAATATCCATTACAGTTATCCAAGTAACTAAAATACGAGAGACAGAAGACGTCGAGATCTTTAGACGATATGCAAGATCAAGGTGTGGGACAGAAAGTCTTAGCTTCACTAACACCATACAAAACTCTTGAAACTTAGTTAGAACTCCACGTCGTCTATCAACATGTGATGCAACAAAGAAGAAGACTGTTTGCAGAATTTCAAAGGATGGCAAACCAGTGTAAAACTTAACTTTGTCATCATCTCCAGAAAAAAAAGCTTCGTCAAAATCAGAAGATGGCAAGTTCTGATGTATGGGCTCAGGCGAGAGCACAGTGTTACAGCTCAACTCTGTTTGGGTTACAGCATGCCTCAAGTTGTCGGGTAAGTTCTCAGAAATGTCCTCAATATCTGCCATTTCCACGTCGAATGATATGTTTTGAACACTATGGCCAGCTTCGTTGTGCTTTAATCGCTTTTTGGCAAGACTTATCTGAGAATTTTCAGAGTCTTTCTCGACCATGCGCTTTGTACGTTCTGTGGCTCGTCTGACTCTTTCCTGACTTTGCTGAACTGATGCTTCGCTAACCTTTAGTTTCTCGTGTCCAAGCTTAAGCGATGGTACCCAATCGACGTTCCACTTATCCCACAGAGGAGCAGCTATTCCAGAATGAAAATGTTCGCCGCAAACACGATCATTTTCAAGAATTTTGTCCGTAAGGTCGTCACGGCTTATGGCGGTCAGCCACCTTCGCCTACGTTCCGTTGACAAAATCTCCGTTTCTTCGCCTTGCCTCGTTACGATTTTGGGCACTCGACAAAAGGAAAGATCTTTTCGCTTAGACGTGTCGTGGGAACAGTTTAAAACCAAGCAAAATTTCGGCATAATGCAATAAATTGAGAAAAACGTTGGAAGATATAGTAGTAAACTGTGTTACTGCACGCCTCTTTACTCCCCCATAATGGCGGACAGTACAATTTTGTGACGTAGCTGTGACGTAGGTGCAAACACTCTATA